TTACTCATTCTAACTGGTATTTTGCTGTAAAACTGTCACTGGTTTAATTGTTCTGTCCATTTGCTGGCTGATGCTTTGTCCTAAATATGAGGAAATTGGTTCATTGAGAAGGTGCACCATTCTCCCAAATCCCTGCCACCCCTGCCACAGGCACACATTTTGAAGCTGTGAAGTCAAAGCTAACCTTTCTCCCTGTCGTGTTCCTCCTCAAGCCAGGTGGAGTTATTGATTATGTGGGACATGGGATCTCTTCCTGAGTTATTATTTCCTGTTCCTCCTCAAATTCTTTGGCACTGCTTTCAGGGATGTTTGTACATACATTTATGGCTGATGTATAACTACTTTTCAAGATCTTTAACAAACTGTATCCAGCACTCTAGCTTGTTTTGTTTAACGGTGAAGTGCAGCTTGATTAACTGGCCCCCCTCAAGCTTTCGTGGAGGTCAGTGGGATTTTGTTCTTGCATTGAGAGATCAGAGCAGAATCTCCATCCCGTAACTCTGTTAGTTCCGCAGCACAGCTGTGCCTGGTTTACAGCTGGGCAGAGAAGGGATGGACGCCCTTATTAAACTCTTCTCCAGTCTAAGGTACTTCAGTCATTGGTGAAGTGCATATGAAAATTCCTGCCACTTCATCAGGTGCTATCTGTCCCCCATGTCATTTTGTGCTATGCATCTTTCTCTGACCAAAACTTTTGGGTAGAAGTTAGAGGTATGCAACCACTATGACTATGGAAAATTGAGCTAGACCTAACTGTGTGGCCACAACAGCAGCAGCTCTGTCAGATACTTTATTAAAGAGCCTTCCTAAGTGGTATGCTCATTAATGCAGAGGACAAAGGGGCAACAGCTTGGGTTTCATCTACCAGACTGGAGTTTAGAAAATGCTCATCCCTTAAAGCAGAGTAACTGGGATCTGGATGTGACAAGCTTCCCCTGACTACAGAGCAGGCTATGGAGCAGGCCTAAGAGAGAATAAGCCCTGCAACATTCCAGATATTGAGAAAGGTGCTTTTCTGGCTCTTAACACTTTTTAACTTCTAACCTATAAACCTTGAGAACAGTTGAGTTAGTGAGCACTGTAGCTGTACATGAAGTTTTCCAGCAGAATTTCAGTTGCCTTCAGTAATGGTTGGTGTTTCCTCTCAGTTTCCATAATTGAGTCATTTTCACTTCTTGGTACTCCACAGAGGAGGGACATACCCAGGAGCATCTTAACGCTGCTGTAACTTCCTCGCTGTTAAAACACAGTGTGTAGGGATGGGAACTGTTTCTTCTGAAGCAGGTGCAGAACACTAAACGGCCTGAGTTTGTTACTCAGCAGTTTCAGGAGAAAAGGAATAGAGGAGGCTTATCTTCAGGATACACTGAGTCCCATTTGTCTTCCTCACAAAGAAGGGAGCCCTCCCATGTTAGGTTAAAGTCTCTGACCAGGGATCTCAAATCATCTTAGCCATGTTTTAAAGCGGTATAGCTTAGCCAGCCCAAGGGTCTGTAGGTGCCTACCTCCGCACCAGTCCCTATAGGTTAACATCTGTGCGTGACAGCAGCCTAGAGTAAAGCAGATGCTGCTGGTGGGATGGATCATGGCTGGCCCCTCTCTGGCTGGGCACCCCAGCTTGCCAGCATTCCCATGCGTTCCCACCACCAAATTGCAGCAAGCAGCTGTGATGTGTGTTTTGACAGAGGTAGAGCTATTAAGTATTTGATTTTAGCCACTGGCTTCATTTTACTTAGCGCATGGAACATGTATGTTGATGGGGAGTGATTTGAGACACATGTAAAGCAAGGACCCATATTTTCATGTCCAGTGGCCGTGCAAAATGCCATTGTCATTTTCTAGATTTTTTTCAAGTTCACTTTCAGTCAAGGTTTACTTCTTCTGTCACCTTTCCTGCTGCAGCACCTTTCCCCAATGTCTGGAGAGTAAACTAGCTCAGTGGAACTAAGAACCACTCCAAGTATTTTGGCATTGATGGGCCAATCTGGCATACCATAGTGAAGTGCATTCTCATTGTTTGCTGCTGTCATCCACCACTGGTTGTTTCTCTCCTTAAACCCAAGCTCAGAAAAGAATTGAAGCACACACTTACTTCCTACCCACTCCACCAAGGATATAATTTTAATATGTGTTTAAGCAATCCTTAGATAAACATCCTTTTGTACTTGTCTCTCGGTTTGTGTATTTATAGTTGGCTGCATTATATTTGAAAGATGGCCCAAGTCTGAATTTAAATAAAAATCACGTGGAAGTACGAGCAAAGCCAATTCCATGTTACCAGCCACAAACCTTTTAGGCCTCCAATGTGCTGTGCAGCACCACTTGATATCTGGCAACTGATGGACTAATAATTGCCTGTCAATCAATGAATCTTTTAGGTTAAAATGTGAGGAATTTCCATACCTTTTAAATAAGATTGGTCTTCTCCCTTCTGCTTCTGTTTATATTCTGCAGTATGTAGTTGGTGAGTAGAGCCTGTATGAATATAGTCTTCTGTGGCAGGAGGTCAGACAAAACACTGAGAAAAGACCATTGGGTTAATGCAGGTTATTTGTTCCTCACCTCCATGAAAAAGAGAAAGTTACTTCGCAGCACAGCCGCAACCCATCGGCATGACCCATGTCCCGATTGATTGGCGATGGGGGAGAGAAGACATTCCATTTTCATTTCTTCATGACTTACTGACTTTCTCACAGCAGAACGGGTTTGTTTCCCACCTTTACCAGAACAACATTCAATGTGTTGATCTTTATGGCTGTGTTAGTTGTAATTAGGCCCCAGAATGTGCTAATGTAACAGCATTTTGAGGCCCTTTAGTAATCTAGCCACTTTCTTACACCTAGCTTTAATTTTCACTTGTTCAGCATATTGGCGAATGGGGTCTGACTGAGCTCTTGCTTGTAGGTGGTGGTGGTTGGAATTGGTCACTGCTCATGTCCACATTGATACCAAAAAGGAAGATGTAGCATTTCAGCTTGCTGCAAAATAACTTTGAATATCAGTGATGTATTGGTGTACTTTTCCCAAGTCGTGTCTTTCAAGTGTAGGTTAGGAAGTCTTTTTAATTCATTGTCCATTTGATACTTTATAGTTTGAAATACTTGAGTTGTACTGATAAAAATTCCAGTACATCAGAAGTTAGATCTAGGATTATAAATAGGTAGGTAGATATGTCAATATATCTATATCTATCTATCACAGATAGGTGCTATTTACTTCTAGACTATAATGCCTGTGAACTTCTCACAGAGGTGCAAATCATTTATTTGCTGTCATATGACAGGCATAGTGCCAGAATTTCTTTGTTTCCACATTTGAGGTGATATCACTTTTCTTATGTCTTTTGTAATGTAGACTTAAGTACTTTTAACCTTACAACCTTGCTATTAATCTGTTTCACTATTTCTCGATGATGAATTCCATTTCTTTTGAAAACACTGTATACAGTTGTGTGCTAGTGTCAATAAAATTGACATTTGTGTAACAAGCTGTGGCATTTTCTCAAATTTCACTGAACATTGATTTAGTGTGAAACTGTTGGTAAATCCTTTCTTGCTAGCTGTAATAATACAGACCTTTATTTCAGGCAAATACTGCTATGACTTTGATTTATAATAGGCTACATAACTGTCATGATTACGTAAAGTGATAACTGTATTGCTTTTTTCCTTCTCTTTTCAAAGGAATGACATATAAACATGAACTGGTTTGGAATTGGAAAACATTCATGTTCTAGCAATAAATCTTCAGTTCTTCCAGAAAATAAATAGGTTTTACTACTGGCCTAATTATATTTATTGGTGCCTCTGTTTACTGGAGTATGTCAGCTGTGTTGTAGCAACAGGAACAATTACCTATCATAATCTAGGGAGGACATAAACACGATAGAAAAAATGTATTTGACCTTAATTATATATGGTAATGTATGTGTTTTACATTTACTCCTAGATAGCCTATTAGCTGTGGTAATCAAGAGCTTGTGACTTTTTTTCTTGATGGATTTTAATGTATGATGCCAAAACGATACAGACTGTAAATGTTCATCCACATGACAGATGCATCTTCTAAAACAGGTTTAGATTTTCAGAGGTTTGGAGGAGGGTATAACTGGGAGAACACTGGGCATTTTTGGCAAACTCTTTCCTTTGTGCAGTCAGTAGTCTGGCTGCCTCCCAGAAGACAAAATGCTAATTGCAGTAATATTTCATGTAGTGCGTATGAATCCATGGAAGTGTAATTAATTGTCTAATTCTTTAGTATTTTTAATCCAAAATTAAAAGGGACTTTATATCTGTGAAAATCTAAAGTTGTCATGCTTTCTGCATTAAAAGTATTGCTTTTCTTATGTAAATGTATTGCTAGCATTTCCATCCCAAACAATCAGAGGAGCATGGAAAGACCTACAAGGTATAATATACATACTTGTGTTGTGTGTAGAAATTGGGGAACTAGTAGTTTTCTCCCTGTATGTTAGATCTGACTGGTCTTAGCAGCAACACTGCTGTAGAAAGTCATCGTTTCTTTTTCTCTAGACTTCCACTAGATAAATTTGTTCTAACTTGTGTCCTATAGCTCCCTATGAAGTACTGATTTGAGTTGTTGAAGTTCTACTTTGCTAGAAAGAATGGCACTCCTAGGGTGACGCCTTTATTGTTGTATTTATTGTTTTTCATAGAGTGGATTACAATGGTGAAAAATTTAGTATTAATATGATGTTTAGCAGTAAATATTGCAGCTCAGGCATATATGCCTTGATCCCTTCCCTACAGAGACACTAATTTCAGCCAGTTTCATCAGCTGAAAGAACACTCCAGTCCCTTGGTTAATGCAAGTGGATGTGGTTCCTCTGACTTCAAGTCCATTTGGACTAGTTTGAGGACCCTGATGGCTGTGTCTTGTAGTGTAATATCACAAGCTGCAACTTAAGGTTGTAACTCTTTTTGGTACTCTCTAGATACAGCCTGTCCTAACTGATTTCTCTTTTACCATTTTTTTAGCAGGTTCTCTGACTGGCAGCCCTCACCTTTCAGAGCTTTCCATCAATTCCCAAGGAGGACCATCGGTGGCAAATATGTCTTTATCTCCAAACTTGAGCCCTGATGCCAAGCAGTCATCTCCCTTGATCAGCCCTTTGCTGAATGACCCATCATGCATCAGGACTGACGATGAGGAAGAGGTCAAAAGAAAGGTAAGGCAGAGGCAGTTGGCCTTGTCTTTCATCTCCATGTTGTGACTCCTGCTGTTTGTCAAAGTGACTGATACCTAGACCCCCTGCAGCTTCCTCATCATAGATCCACACAGATAACTTGAGTTGGGTCACTTGGTACCTGCTGTCCTCAGTCAGCGTGTGTCCAAGAGCATCCCTGTGCTCCTGAGGCCAAACTCAAGTTTGGAGCGGGTCAGGCCAGAACTACAGAAGGAAAAGGAACAGCATTGAGCCTGTGCAGAAATGTCCAACCCAGGCTCTCCAGTCTGTCCCTCCTGGGAGCACCACTGGGAGCATTTGGTTGTGGGAGTAGAAAATGCTCTCTGAGCCACAGCCTGCAGCGTTCAGCTGGGAGTGTTTGGCTCAGCCCCGTCACTGCAGGAAAGCCATAAGGGAGCATCACATCCAAAACTGCTTTTTGAAGATAGAAGCGATTCTGTCTGAGCCAGGGTGTTCTGGGTGCCTGCTGGCTCATCCCTCCTGTGCTGCAGAGCCCGAGGGGGTTGCTCTTGTCCTTCTGTCGCCTGCTTTTTTTCCTGAGCTTGGAGCATCTCAGGAGGGAGAAAGTAGGAACTCAGATGGTTTTGCTGGAAAGTGGGAGCGTGTGTAAGGAAGAACTCTCTTCCCACTGTGCACAGTTAGCAAGAGGTGTGAGAGAACTTTGAGAAGAAAAGCCAAGAATCAGTTAATAGACTCAGAATTCTGTCAGTCCAAGTTAGAGCAGCCAGTGACTGCGGTATATACCAGCTGATGATGGTTCCTATGGGGTTGTATACTGACTAGGAAATGCCCACACAGTCTCCCCTTGCATCCCTTTCTAGTGCAGCCCCTGCATTGCTCATCTTCAGGGAGGAAGTGTAGAAGCAAAAGATTTATGGATATTTTGCTCTTCCTTTTTGCTTCCTGAGCAACACAGAGCAAGATCAATTAAGATCCTTTGGCTCTTCAGAATTAAGAGGTCAATACCACTTTTGCCTCTTGGATAACACAGGAGGATTTGGGGTTTTTTTTCCTGAAATTCGAAATTTGTAGCTTACCTAAAATTCTTCCCCTCTCCCACTGTTAGGTTGTCCAGCCACACTGGGAAAATCTTGCAGGGTTTTTTTTTTTTTTTGAGAGTATTTTTACTGTGGATTTTTACCTTGACAATGAAACTTAAATAATCAGACACTGATTTTTGTCATTTTGTCAAATTTTACATTTGTCAAATTTGATTCAAATGCTTATCTAGCATTTCTAGGATTTCTTTGTGAACTTCAGAATATGTCCTGCTCCAGATGTGTGGAATAAGCTGAAAGGAACATCAACACCCCAAAGCTGGCAGAAAAAAAGTCTCTCAAGAACCCATAGAAAGTACTTGTTCTCTTGTGTTTGCAAGGAAGGATTGTTTTCAGGGCTTCGAACACTCAAGCATGAATCACAATAACCACAAGCAAGGGTCACTAGTTTGTAACTCGCTTGATGATTATTGCCTGCAGTTTTTTCCTACAGAAACCAGCTCCATAAAAGTAGATGAAAACCTAACGTGTTTGCAATTTGCAGAGATTCCCGACTGAGAAAGCTTACTTCATTGCTAAAGAAGTAGCTACCACAGAACGAACATACCTGAAGGACCTTGAAGTCATCACATCGGTATGTTTACTTGAGCATTACTCATCAAACATGTGAAGCTCTAGTCAGCGGTGGTATTTTATCTGCTCCATTTAACATCTTAGCTGTTCCATGCTACTTGTATATTCTGCACTGTAGGTATTCTCTGCAGTGCACAGGAGTACAGCTCTAGGGAGGAAATAACACAAAAAGCAGAAAGTAGAGATTTGCGCTGTGGTTAGTAACATGCACTATGAAACTATATCAGGTTGAGGAACTTGGGACACAGTTCAGTTATTTTTTCTTGCTCTCATACTTTGTGGTTGTAATTGCTAAAAATGCCTGTGGGTTTTCAATGACTTCTCTTAAAACTGAAGTAGCTCCCTAAGGGGACATATAAATGTTTTCTCCTGGATTAAATGCCCTCCATTTAACATGAAATACTGTGGAGTACCTATTTGAATGATTCTGATTTTTCAGTAAGTGAAACTTTCTGTTTAATGACTCATTAATCTGTAGCATCTGATCAAAGTGTGTTAAAGTCACCAAGGCAAATACGTGCCTTCTTTGCACACACACCAACAGTCTTGTTTAATTTCCAAGAGTAACGTGTGCAAGATTTGGCCTTAAATAACAATTGTCTGTAAAAGGTCACTGGATCCAAAACCTTTCCTGGCATTTCAGCAGGGCTGCCAGCTCCAGACCTTCCAACTCTTTAATCTCGCAGTGTGTGAAACTCAGTGTGTGAGGTGCATTGCCACCTCCTGCCTTGAGTGTTGTGGTAAGGAGGACATGCTGCAGGGAAGAGTCTGTTGGTACCAGCCAGGAACCAGGGAGAGACACCTTCTCCCTAGCTTCTCCTGTGTTCCAAGAGCCCGCATTGCAGATGCAGTTGATCTGACGCCAGCTCAGACATAGCAGCATGGTTGTTACAGGCAGCAAGATAACTGTGGCTCCTCTGCCTACTTACCCTGGCTTTCTGGGAAGCCAGGCCCACAAGGGAAGAAGCCAGGTTCTGTGGGACAGTGGTCATTGCTGCCGTCTCAACAGCAGATACACTGGTTTCATCTTCTATTTCACCCAGTGGCTGCAGAAACACCCATTTCCCACCCTGGCCTTTATTCTTGTGGCAGGCAAGTTTGAATTTGCCGTGTCACCAACTGGCTCTAAACCAGGCCCGTCAGCTGTGCCCCCACAGTTGTCTGGCCCAGCAGGCCACTGAGAGTGAACAAGTAGCCAGCATCACTGGAAAAGGTAGAAGGAACGAGTGTCATGTATGAATTTTGAGACTTGTTAGGTGTGCTATTCTTCAACCTTAGCTCTGCTCAGTGCAGAGGTAAAGAGGGCGAGAAGGAGGCTTGGGAGGGATCTCTCTTTATCCCAGGTCTGGGTCAGCTCCAGCTGATGCAGTTTCAATCAAGACTGCTGTAACAGCCTTCTGTGGTCCCAGCAGCCTTCTAGGCACTGCTGGAAGTGAACCATAGATAGCTGGAACCCCTCAGGGCAGTGAGGAGGGAGTAGCATTATCATGTTGAAGAGAATAGTCTGTGCCACCTTGCCAAGCCCTTGGTCCTACGACTTTACATTACCCGTAGGTCTATTAGGATGAAATAAAGAGAATATGGAGCAAAACTGAGCGAAAGCCTGTTGCAGTCTTAACAGTGTTTGGTGCTGACCCTCCTATTTTCTGCTACTAGTTTCTTGTCTTGGAAGTGCCAAGTACTGCCCTTCTACTTGTTCACTTTGCAAAGTACGTGATGTTCTCTCTCTGCACACAGCAACATGGGCTTGAGTGCTTACTGTACCAACTCCTGTCAAGGGATTTCAGACAGAACTCAGCAAAAGAAAATGCAGAGCATATTTTTTGTTTTTACTGGAATGTTTGCAAGTTTTGCAAGTATTACAATACTCTTCCTCTTGCACCTACAGCATTTGCATATTCGGTTTGTATTGACCAACCAGTTTGGGCTTGAAAAGAATTTTCAGGATTTGATCAGTGATGGCAAAGGGGAAGATGGTTTCTTTTTTAACTATGCAGGGCCTGACTGCTGATAAGAGCACCATTTCAGCATGTGGGAGTGTCAGGGGTAGCCTGGGTTGTATTCCTAATGCCAGCTAAATAAGGTCCTTACTGAGTTAGGTGTATTTGGGTTGGGTGTATAAAGATCTATGATCATACCTGCTGCATTCCACCCCCCGATAATTTTGCTTCTTTTTTCTTTGTAGTGGTTTCAGAGTGCAGTGAGTAAAGAGGATTGCATGCCCGACACACTGAAAAATCTCATTTTCTCCAACTTTGAACCTTTGCACAAATTTCACACTGGTTTTCTCAAGGAAATTGAGCAGAGACTTGCTCTGTGGTAAGATTATTGTTTGTTATTTAGCTGTGTTATTTTATGCAGTTTAGCATTTTTGCGTTCCCTTTTTTGCTAACTCTTTGTGATGTACTGTAGTGATTCATTTCTGAAACTCAGAGATGTTGGTTATTAACAGACTGGGTATATTGAATCATGCTTTGTTCATGTTTACTCGACAAACTCTGTTGTTTGGATATCTCAGGTACGGGCATATGTAAATGAGATCATAATTCTGGATGAAGCTTTCTCTTGCCAAGTATCAGTGTTTCTATATGGCAGCTCTTCTGAAAAATATGTTGCAAGGAAGGCTTATCAGTAATAAAGAGGGAGCAGCAAAGGACCAAGTCCTGTTTCTGTCAAATAGGTGTAGGCTGGGGGGGCATTTCAGAGACCAGCTTCCCACTCTGCAGCACTGCAGCTTTGACACACTAAGGGTCTACAGTGCACTCTATGAATTGATGGATTGTTGGAAGAGGACACTGGGCTTAAAAATTCTGTCCTTAACGTAATAGTGACAGAAAAACATGGCATTTTTGTGAAATAGCTGTGAAGTGAGTAATTCTTCCCTGGCAGGACTCAACTCAGTTTATTTGACCACTGATATCTGAGCAAAGGCAGCACACAGAAGCCCTCTGCTTGTCCTGATTAGACCTGTCTGGGCTAGATTGTCTTGCTCTGTGTTGGCATTTTTTGGTTGTTTATCTTCCATACTGGGAACCCAGCTTTTCTTTCTTGGTTAGTAAAGTGACAATGGAAAATCATGTGAAAGCACAGCAGGCAGACCTGATGAGTGCTAATCAGTTTAATGCCTCTTTAATTAATCAAAACAAAAGCAAAACACAATCTTAGAGTGTGTGAATTTAGCTCTTGCGATGTGATGAGCAAGGTCATGGAATGAGAGCACAACACATTGCAGACTAGTGCTATCCAAACCCACCCTGCACAGTTCCAGAATTAGTGGGTATTTTCTGGGGAGAGGGGAATGTGATACTGCCTCTTAGAGCTGACGTCCTCACCCAGGACTCTGCGGTTGATGTAACCTTGAGATAAGGTTACTCCTAAGGCATGTGCCGCACAGCAACTCTGCCCGTATCTCTCTTGTTTCATTGGGCTGCTACTGTTTTAATCCAGTCAGGATTCTTACTGGTGTTAATTGCTTTCCAGTAAGGAACATTTATTGCAGGTAGTCCAAGAAGGCTCTTTGTAATGTTATAAAATAATGATTGTTTCTCCAACCATGGTGTAGGATTAACAGTAGTTAGGGTTAATCCCCAACTACTTGAGGTTAAGGGTGCATGGTGAGAAAAGGAAAATATATAGTTAGTAAGGGGCCAAGTTCTACTGTCTATCAGACCAGTCTAATCTAGCAAGCTTGCTGGGTGCTGATTCCTGGGGCACATGTGGAAATAGAGATTCCCTCTATATCCTCCTGGTTGCTGGTGGTATTACAGGTGGTTGCCAACCTCCTGTTTAGGTGTGATGCTGCAATAACAGCCTGCTGTGGAAAGGTGCAGTTGGAGCAAGTGGGGGGAGGTATACCAAAAGAAGGAAAGAATATTTAGGTTTTCCATGGTTTTATTTTCTTTCTTTTCAGTTAGCTTCTTTAAGAGCTGAGTAAGCCTTTTGTTTGCCAGCTTCTCCTTGTGTCCTAAGGCTATGGTTTCACAGAGCAGTAAGCCTCGGTTTAAGGCTCTTAATACCACATTTAAACTGCAGTTGTCCTAAGATATCAAGTGCTGATCTGCTATGAAGTTACTTTGCAATCCAAATCTGTTCAAAAATATTCTGCTGAGGTAACTTTGTCCCAGCTGGGCACCTCATTCTGACTTTGTCAGCTCAGCTATTGCATGTCCTTCTGCAGTTAGCATAAAGCCACTGGGAATTCTCTGTTGGCTGCTCTGATTCACTTGACAGAAAAGCAGTCACGTTCCTGCCCCTGGTCTGCATCCAGTTTGCAACCAACAGCATGGGTTTACTTAACGTAATACCACTGTTGTAGATGATGTTTGTTTTTCAAGTTCTGGAAGGTTTGAATATGTGCCTTAGGAAGGGAGGCAGATTTGATGGCAGGTGTTATTTTGGAGGTGTTGGTGTTTTTATATAATGCCACAGATGCTGAGATAAGCTGCAAGCAATAAACTCTATCCTATAGAGATTACCGTTTAATTAAACAGTGATTGACAAAAATAAACAGCCCCTCAGCATGCAGAAGAAGAAGCCGGTGGCAATGTGGTAGGGAATTTCTTCAGCGGTGTGGTCAAGATCACTTAGCTCAGTGTCCGTGCTGCCATGATCGTACCTCTGTCTTTGGCCCCGGGTGGTTTTAAGCCAGTGGGCTTCGGCTGTGTTCACCACCGCAATGCAGAGCGCTGCCCAGCCTCTACGCAAGCTGTGTGGCATCTCGAGGGCCTGGCTGAGCCGGTGGCACTGCTGCAGGCAGGTGTGGGCAGGATTCAAGGCAACTCATTTGAATCTGACTTTTCTGTGTCAGCTCTTTTACATTTCCAAGCAGGTGGAGCGGGGAGGAAGGTGGAGACGTAAGCACGGTCTGCATTAGTCAGAGGATGGCGTGTCCTATGAAAAAAGGGCCTTTAAATGAAAGGGTTGTGGACTTCATCAAGCTACTGGAAGCCCCCTGCTACCCAGGTGTGTTGTAGGAGCTTGTCCGAGAGGAAGAGCCTCCCACAACCAGTCATCTGTGTTGCCCTAGTGAATGGGATGCTGGGTTTTGTGAATTTAAAGTGCAGTTCAGCTTGCTCGCTCTGCCTAGACATCAGCACATCTGTCTAAGGTTTGTTTCAAACCTTCATGCTGCATGTTGGAAGCTCTATGGGAGGCCATTCTCTGGTCTCTTAGGACTTGGATCACATTGAAGCTGATGCTCTGCAAAAGAGCTGTGAGGAGAGCAAGGCCAGGGGAGGATCGCGTGTAACGATTGTCAAATGGCTCTGTGCTTTTAATTTAAAACATCTATAGACTTTTAGTATTGGGCTCAAAGAAGCTCAGGTTGTGCACATTATTAAAAGCATTTCTGGCTTGCTCAAAGGCTTCTGAACAGTTTGAATCTGCCATCAGAGGCAGGCTGTTTGCTACTGAACATCTTAAGGGCTGGTATCCTTTTGACCCAGTTATAGATTCTGGCAGGTCTGATTTGTTTCTTTACACAATTTGCCCATTTTTCTCGAGTACTGCATTTCCTAAGAGCAGCACATCTCAGTGTCTAGTGCACAGTGACAAAGTTTTTAACAAGATGTGAATTGATGCTGACACCAATAGTCAACTGCAGAATATAGGAAGTTGCTGCATTTTTCACAGGCCGGGTTTCTTTCTGGCCATGAAACTGAGCAGATTCCTGGTGGTTTTATCGCACAACATCCTAAGATCAGTCATACCACGCTCTGGGTGATGTTTTCTGCCCTGCCTGTGCTGTTGCAGGGCCAGTGAAGCAGCCCGTGAATCCCTTCGGTTGCCCCGATTGTGCTGCGCCCTCTGTTCATGAGACTGACCACATTCCTGGGACCAAGGGAAAATACCCCTCTGCGGTTTGAGGAGGAGGAGGATGACCTTTGGTGGATGCAGGCAGGCAGGCGTGGGGTCTGCCCTCTCGCGCAAGGGAGGAGGAGGGAAAAGAGATGGGAGAGGGAACACTGCATGTCAGGTTGTCCTGTTAGCAAGTGCCAGGAGAGCTGTGTCCGGCACCCAGGCATCCAGGTCCTGGTCCTGGCTACCAGGACTCATCCAGGTTGCTCCTCAGCAAGGCTTTGGGTGCAAGGCCAGGAGTTCCCAACCTTTTTTGCTGGGAGGAAGTACAGGATGCGTATCTCAGTGACATGAAGCTGGCTCCTGTTTCCCAGGGCCTGAGAGATTTTATAGCAAGGAGGAAGAGGTGCAGGCAGTGCAGGCGGAGTGTGACGTGCTCCGTTAACATATGGCCAGTTGAATCCAAGAAGTGAATTAGGTTTTGCTCCTTCATTTACGCTGTTTAATAGGATATTCATTTGGGGCACAGGCACCGTTTTCCAGCCAAAAATATTGAGCTCATCTTCCCACACCCCTTCAGATGTTTGTATTACAAGTTTCCAAACATTTCTGTAAATCCTGATGGAAGGTGGCAAATGGAGAACTCTTAAATTTTGCCCCCTTGGTCGACTGCTAAGCACTGCGGAGAGCAATGCTAGGGCAAGCCAGGATAGCCTTTTCTGTCCTACAAAGCCCTATCAGGTAGCGTGAATCTGCGTTTTGGGCCTTATCCATGTGCTAGGAAGAAAAAGTGTTACTTATTTTCCAGAAATGGAGGCAGACTTACCCTCTCTGGGGGAAGCCAGTAATTTGACTCCCAGTTCACAGGCACTTCTGAGGAAAGCTGCTACTCTGTACTACCAGATGTGGCTGAGAAATGTGCGGCTGGTAATTTGCAAAAAAAAGCTGTTAGATCTTAGCATATGAAAGGAGAAGGCTCCATCAGGATTCATGAAAGCCAGTTTGAAAACCTATAATAAAAAGCACTCAGGGAGGTGTAGGAAGATGAGCTAAATGTTGATTTATTAACCATTTTTTGTTTGGGAAGTAGTACTTGTGGTCAGGAAGAACAGCCTAATAAACAGTTTATATAAACAAGGCAGCAATCCTTATCTGCTCTCTCAAACGCGTGAGTGCTGACTATTCAGCTGGTTCTTGTGCACCTAGCGAAGAGGGATTCGAGAGCATCTTTGTCCTATGAATAGAAATGAAGTATACATTGTAGTATAAACCTCAGAGTTAGGTAGCATGGATTCCTGAGACAAAGACATTGAGAGGGGCCCGGTGCCAGTGCATTACACTCACTTTTGAGAGGACGGTTTGCATTGCTGAAGTCACTTTTGGGTATTTCTGGGGATTTAGAGCCATGCTACACCCAAATGAATTTGAAATGTTGGGAGAGCAATGGCTTGTCCAGGATCCATTAGTCACACCCAGAGCCACATTACATCCATCTCTGCAGCTCTCCCAGGTGGGATGCACCCAGGATTGCCTCTGAGGAGGTGCCACGGCAAGGTATGAAATGTTGTTGTGTTTTCAGTATATTTCCATGCGATGGTGTTACTTGCTCCAATCTCTTACTTCTTAAAAGCATTACTGACGCGTGCTTGCTGTAGATTGGGTTTCTCTCACAACAGGGATAGCCAGCTCAAAGTCTTTAAATGTGTGCACGCTCCCCAAAGGCTTGATGGGACTCTGAGAAGCTCTGGTGGCTTCAGCAGTACATTTTTTAGGCTCTGAGCAGCGTTTTGTACACCACTTACTGCTGAAAGGACAGCTGCAGCAACAGCTGGAATGGGCAGGGCGCTGTGTAATAGCAGGGTGTGAGCAAGGAAGAGGGTGTTTTGCTTTTATCGACTTTTCCAGTTACAAAATGTTCCTTTTATTGAAAAGACAATTATAATGGGGGATGTTTAAGGTATTTTTTCATATTAAAACTTCAGTTAATAATACTCTTTAAAAGTCAAAAGTATCTTCAGTGTTCAAAGACCAGCTATGGTATCAAGGAGGCAAATCTGTTCCTGAGCATGTAACAGAAGGTCACACACTGTAAATGTAACTTGCTGCAATTGATTTTTTTTTTTCTGCAATTGAAGGCTGCAATCAAAGTTTTTTATGTTCACCTAGGGAAAAAGAAAAATCTCTGTTGAGATGTCTTTTTCTCTTTCTTTGCCTTCCCACCATCCCCATCAAATTCTGTTCCTTCTACTACCATGCCTGGATGATTGAAGATAGTATGGGCTGACTGGAGATGTCTTTCCATTCATTTTTCAATGATGTATACTGAGAATTTTATGTAATTTGAAAATCCAACATAGCTGCTTGCGTAGTCCCTGTAAGTCGAGCTGGTGGCCATTTTTAGTAATATATAAGGTAGTGTCTGAGTTTCTTATCGGGTATAAAAGTCTACCTCTTCCTCTTTGTTTGCAGTTGTACACTTTCATTACTGTAAAAATTAAGGGACTGTTTGGAGAAAAATGAGAAAAAAGCTAATTATAGAATAATATCTCCACTATTCTTAGAACCGTAGAATCTCCGCTATTCAGCATGATTTTCAGCGGCTTTCGATGTCCCCACGCAATGTCAGTGGAGTGATGGCACATTATGTGTGGGGAAAGCAGCTCCTACATGTTCTATGGAGCTGGGGGGTCATAAATCAGCTCCTGATGAAATTTTCTAAGAACCTAGTCCCTGAGCTCTGTCACTGGCAGATAGATACCATGTTCAAACAGTGACCCGTGAAAACAAGGAGTAAGAAGAACAATTTAGGCATCGATGCACAACAAATGAACAGCTTCTTCCCCCCCCCAGCAAGCTGAGTGGTTTTATTCAAAACATACACCGCAGGGAGATCTCTCTTCTCTGCTGCTGTGCTTTGGGCTGTTGAAGCAGTAAGACACTATCTGATGGATCAGGCGTTTGGTTTTTATTTTAATATTCTGTGTATTTGGATGCTCTTTCCTTGAGGTTTCTTTTCTTCCTGTTTAATTGGGGTTTGCATGTTGAGGAGCTGGGGAAGAGGGCAGTGTGGTGTTGGGGTTGTTGTGGAGTCCTGTCAGAGAGCTGGGGTGGAGTGGAGGATGGGGTTCAGGAGGCGGATGTGAAGCCATCGTGTTCCCCTATGCCTGGCATTCCCTGCCCCTCTGCTCCACATCACAGTCTGCACACATGCGCATCATCCCCAGTGGGAAAATTATCTCTGTTGTGAGAGGCAGCATTTGCATGGAAATAGAGCCAAAGCAGGGAGAACGGCTGGAAGAAGGAGCAATACCCGGCCGTCACATTTCTGGATTATCTTAGGGTTTTATTTCTTCCAGCAGTACACATCTGCCTGCAGCATAGGTTATCTCTGTTGGCCTGGGCTGAGGGCTCTGGTACGATTCAGCCCTTCACTGTTCAGCCAGCAGAGAGGCTACTGCTTTTGGGAAACCCCTTTCTCTCCCTCTTTGTCACTCTGCCAAGATGCAGAGTAAGATCTGAAAGCCCTCAAACTGTTTAAAAAAAGCCTCGGACCAGTCTGTGGCCAAAGACAATGAAGGGGAATGTTTCTGATGCTTCGCGTGTCACTGATGTGACGAGATGCTGTGCAAGCAGTCAGGCCTGGCTGTGCTGAAGAGGGGCCAGAGGGTGAACTTTTAGGAAATATGGACCTGACTGTTCAATGAACAACAGTACTAAATATTAGCTGAAGTTCCCGAAGTCAGTGGAAGCACTCACTATGACTTTGGTAGGCTTGGGGTGAGCCTTCGAGTAGCTAGCTGGTAGGTAAGAAATTTGCAACAAGTATTCCAGCCAACCTTTATGTAGCCTTGAGATCAGAAAAGCAATTTCTATTTAGAAATAGCAGTCTGTAATGATGTGCTTAATATTTATCTTGGCAGTAAACCGTAAAGGTACCAAACTGCTGAAGTCCATTAGATTAACTCAGATGTAGAGACATAAAAAAGGATCCAGGCAATGCCACAGAGTTAGAGAATAGCACATAAAGCAAGAATTCTTCTAGAGATAATTACCAAATACCACGTCGTTACTGGCAGCAGCACAAATTCATCTGGCTTTGACATTTCTGGGATTGTGCGCAGCGGCGCAGCGTGTACCATTTGGGATGGGATACTGCACGCTGGCTGCACGGATGGAGGGTGACTTTCCCTTGCTTCCTGCCAGTGCGGTACTACTGCCTTGGACTTCAAATGGTTGTGGTTTTCAGCGGGGGCACTTTGATGTGCACCGCTTTGAGCAGAGCTTTAGTGGCTGGAAAGTTTTATTTACAACCTCTGAGAGGAAATCTTAGTGGGGACAGCTGCTGGATGGATAGGACATGGGGGAAGGGAAAGGCAGGGGACAGCACGGGGGGGGATGACTTGACAGACAGGCTTCCTGGAGAGAGAAATTGGACTTTTATCCAGTGCAAATAACTGTAGTGTGGAGACTGTAGTCTTGTAACATCCATACATACCTCTGCTCTTCTTTGCAATATAGACCATTTCTTGGGCATGTTTTGACTACAGCAGTGTTTATATAATGTCATGCTTTTGCAAGACTGGCAATGCTAATTAAAGTTACCATTGACACCACCCAACTTCCTACCCTGGTGTAACCTTTGGATTCAGAAAAAACCTTGTTGAGAACTGTATTTTTCTTGCTTGAATAGGCATGTGAGTGCCTGGAAGACTTAACACAATAGAAAATAATTAAAGACAGCCTATGAAACTGGATAGTGTTCAAATTAAGATGGAACAATCCCTTGTTTATCAGATGAGTGTCTTTGTTGAAGGATAAAATAGGAGATGTTACTGTGTAGTATTCATAAGCTGTGCCCTCCACATTTCCCAGTTAGAAAAGCATGCAGAGAGTTTATCCAGCATGAACATAACCATGTTTAACTTCACCAAACAAAATATATTTGAATATGCATCTATTCATGTAATAGTATGGATTTTTAAAAAAAAAAAAAAATCTGTGTGTCTTACCAGCGAAAGTGTATTCCTAACAACAGCTGTGTCCCCTGTGATTTCGTGAGTGTGGGACCTCTCTGGCTAAATTGTTGGTACTAAGGAATGGAGAGATTTACCACCTGGTTGTCCACTTACCCCTTCACTGCACACAGAATTTTCTTAAAAGCGTGAACTACTGCAAGTGGGTGAAAACCAATATATCCAGTTAGTGATAACACAAAACAGAGGTCCTGTTATCCTTGGGCTCATTTAGAGCTTGATTATATTTCTATCCTCTTCCAAGGCAGTGCATTTCTTTGGCTGAATTGCAGTTGCTCACATCAGGACTGGATCTGTCTCTCAATACTCAGATGTGGGAGTTGAACTGAATTTTAAAAATTGAGGACAGCATGTAAAAAGCCACGCTGTGGGAAACTTGGATGCAGTATTAAAAATTGGAAAGGGGAGGGGGACAGGCTTCTCCTCACACTCCCCTAGTGATTTTCTTTTCAAAACCTAACTTGGTTGGAACAGATCTGTAACAGTTAGGTTCTTATATTCATGATTTTTCCTCCTGTGTTGTCTAAAAGATGTGTTTGGATTCAGTCAGTGTGTGGTATCCCTGCCTGTCTTGCACATGGGTTTAGAAGCAGGAGTATCTTTTTCGTCAGGAGCTGGGTTTCTCCCAAGTGGAGCACCCACCCAAGTGCAGCTGGGTGGGTGGGAGGGAGCAGTTTGCATTTTTAATACCAAAAGTGACACACTGAAAGAAAATTCCTGCCAGTATGTAACACTTATGAGTCAAACCCAGATGCTGGATGGATTATTTTTTTGTGTCCCACTGTCCCTTGCACAAGCACAAAGCTTTTCGGAAGAAGACCACCTGCGAGTACTGTGCCGAGGTGCAATCCTTGTTTCTGAACAGAATTATCCTTCTGCTCTAAGCCCACATATTGTCATGGGATTTTGATGTCTTCCTTTTTCTCAAGCCATTTCCAGCCTTCTCTGGTGTGTTTAAAACACTAGCAATTTTCTTCAAAAGTCTAATCCTTCTGTTAAGTGCCTGCCCTCTCTGTTGATAGGAGTGCGAGCCAGGCTGGGTGAAAGGGTGTACTGTACCTGGGAATTACATGTCCGTCTGGAAGATTCCTTGCATGGTCTCGAGCGAAGGAGCATGGGGGTCAGGATTTTAAAAGAAATAAGCTATTGAGTTCCTTTCTGTGCTTATAAGTGATTATGCGGTTTTATTGCATGACTGAAGTCTGTGATATTTCTGTTGCTGACAGGGAAGGCCGCTCTAATGCTCACATTAAAGGAGATTACCAAAGAATTGGGGATGTTATGCTAAAGAACATTCAGAGTATGAAGGTAGGAATGATCCTATAACTATTAAGCTTTGACACGGATTAACATTAGCGTGCTTTTCATTTTTGTGTGATGTTGCCTCTTGTGCTGGTTTTTGCCAATTGTAATCAAGGCTTAGGCTATAAAAGTTTCCTCTGATGAAGTAGCAAGTGTTTGGTGAGCCCTGAGATTTCAGAATTGCAAGCTGATTTTAAATTGTCTAGCCCCTTTCCTGAGTCCACTCTCCACATATAGGAACAACGAACACAAAAGTTTGGGAACATTTCATTTCCAGTTCTTTTTTCTTTCAAATAAGAAGACAAAACATCAGAATTTGTGTGACTGAAGAGACTGTTCAAAAGCTGAATGTGCCTACTTGTGCATGCAAATTTAAGTGCTAAGATATTGCAGAAGTAGTGACCATAACCTGGATATTGATTTGATTTGGGAAACTTATACTTATGCACTATGGTGCCAAGTTAGATGAAAGGTTTTTGAATAAATGTGAATAATTTCCTTTAATCCCTTTAAAGCTAAAAGCAAAAATATGCATATGAAGAGTAAGTCTAGGTGTCACGTTCAGCAGACTTTGCATCTGTGCTTAGTCTGGCCAGGGTAGTATTTTTTGATGCTCTGTGTTACCGAACAAACAGTGTGGAAGGCAGGTGTGGGAGCCTGGGAAAACCCTGCGGATTTTTACAGTATGGATGGATAACACACGGCTCACCTTATTAATGTAGCTATGCATCCAGGTCAATGTGTGGCAAAACATGGCTCTGCACCTTCGGCATGTGAATCTCAAAGTGCTTTTGAAACCATCTGATAAATCTTTCCTCAGTGATTGCCACTTCGGCATTCTGCAGTTAGTAAATGGAGCAGCCTTGAGTCCTTGACTGGAGGAAAGGGCAGTTTAATCTCTACAGCTCTCCTGAGAGGTTAGTTAGCGCTGGGCTTATCTTTCAGAAGGACAGAGAGAGATGAAGAGAGGTTAAGTGACGCGCAAATGATTATACAGCAAATCATAAAAAGGGAATGTAGAAATGTTGATTTACAATCCCCTACCCAGACAGCTCTGTCACCAATACACTGCTCTTTTTGCAGTGTACTTGGCAGGAACTGCTTTTTCCCCTCAAGACACAATTCAGAGGCATTGGAAGAAGCGCAGGGGGGACTTTCCTACCTCCATCCCTGCTGTCATGAAGTATGCACCTTTGCACAAACAGTTTTTTGGAATTTCAGCTTCTGACAGGCTCTGCTTCTGCCCTTGGTACCTTGCAACATTAAATTGTCTGTCCTTCACTGTCTGCAGGCCCTTCTGTGACACTAGTTTAATGAGAGCCTACAATCCTCACTGTAACTTAGACCTGTCAGTGGGCTTTCACCTTTGCCATTCTCCTTTTCCATTAGAGGATTTTGTTTTGAGAACCACCATTGCCGATAAGCACAGATGGGTGGAGGAAAGAGGCAAAACCCAATTTGACTTTAAGAACTGTACAGGAAACAATGAAGTTAGTTAAAACTCCACATATTTATCATGAGACCTGTTAAAAGACCAGAAAACTGACACTCCTTGTTTAATTAACATAGGAAAGAAGTTAAGAGCAAGTAATTAATGGGCAGCCTCTGTAGTAGTCCAGAGGGTCTGCTGTGTCATTGCTTGAGTAACAGGCTTGTAAAACGAATGTGCAGTGTATGGGAGGAAGCAGCTTGGCTGTAGGGAAGGTGTATTTCTGGTAAGGATGTCACAAATCACAGGAGAGGGGGAGCTGATTGGAAATGTGTCAAAAAGCAGGAGCTTTAGAATAAGCCAAAGTGTTTTCTCAAGTCCATTCAACATATGCATTCAATTTCTTTTTTGTTGCTGGTTAATATTCTACCAGGTACTGGGCGACTTGTTTTTGCTGCTCAGAGAAGCTCTGCGCATCCTGAAGAACCAGTTTACCTTTTGCAAAACACAAATGAAGCCTCTGTGTTAGTTGTTCCAAAAAGTACTGCTAAGTTGTTTTAAATGGATCTTGTGAATGTCTGTGATATTGAGACCTTGACTAGGTTATGTATTTCATGCAAACCTCATTCACTTGCTGGCGCCTAACTCCCCTCTTGCCAGTGGGATCATCTTAGAGACTGCACTAATCCAGGGATGAACCACTCTAACATACCCAGTTCTGTCAGACAACTCCTCTATTTTTGAGGAGAGATGCAGCTTTTCATTAATAATAGGGGAGCAGAAGCTAGAAGTCCAGTTGCCTGCATCTCAGTTCCCCAAAAGCACCTAAGGGAAGTAGGGCAACTAAATCCCTTATCCTCCTAGACAATCCTATTTTGTTTCCTAGCTCTGCCGTCACATTGTCTAGCTCTCTCCCTCTTGCACCTGCACTTGCATGAGCTATGTTCATGTCATCTCCTTGCCTTTGGATTTCTCACTAATACGAGACTTAGTTCTGTTTACTCATGTACTCTTATTTTACAGGGAACGCGGGGGTGTGTACTTCAAACGAGTAATGCCATTTTTCCTTTTCAAGTGAATCTCAGAACCGTTGTTTTGCGCAGTGATTTTGTTTGCAAAATCCCAACTGCTGTGCTAGTTGGATTTTTTTATTGGAATAGGTTTGGGCTGAGTCATGTCTCACAGTGATAGCTAATAGCTCTACCACATGCTCTTTTCTTTGTGCCTGTAAGCAACTGACAATTCACCTGTGGAAGCACAATGAGATTTTAACGGAGTTGGAGAACGGGATCAAGAACTCTCGCAAGCTGGAGACCTTTTGCAGGGATTTCGAGCTACAGAAGGTCTGCTACTTGCCTCTCAATACCTTCCTTCTCAGACCATTACACAGGCTTATGCACTACAAGCAGATAATGGAGAGGCTTTGCAAACACTACCCACCAAGTCACATAGACTTCAGGGATTCGAGAGGTAAGTAAGAGAAAAGACACCAATTCCTGGAGCTGGGGAATGGCATTCAAATCCTTCAGAGGTGCATAGCTGGACAAAAAAAATAATATTTTTTTAAAGCCTACACTGAAAAAGGATTGAGTTGTAAAACCCAGCACTCAGAAGACCATAAATGGTCAAATTAAGGTTGCTTTTGTATCCACGTTACACCACAGTCTGGACAAGTGCTTGGAAGAGAAGTCTGCTGGGGGTTATTAAACACGCAGAAATGACAGGCAGTTCAGGAAGTCACTTGAACTGAAAACAGTTGGGAGGTTGGGAGAGAGCACAGAGAACGTCCCATGTGCGCTGGTCTTGTTCCTAGCTTTCCCTGGAGATCCGCTAGGAACACAGAATATTGGCCCAGGTGAACCCTTGGTCTGACCCAATGTGGCTGCTGTTATTACGTCTTTAAGTGTTATGTGTCTTTATGAATTATTTTTCCAGACATACAGTTTGTTCTATTGCCATTTCCATGATTTGTTTCAAGAGCTCAAGGTTGCCAACATGCGTTTTTTCCAAACGTGGAGAAATTTTTCTCCTGTAGTCTGAACTCACTTCCTGCTACTTCTTTTTGATGATTTGTTTTCCTCCTTTCTTACCCCCGTCCTGTTGTAAGCTATCTACATTTAAAGATGATGGTGTTGTCTATAGAGTTACCAGGGAGCAATGCTCGGCATGACTCCTCCCAGCTGTAAGGTGTCAGCTGAGTTAGCTAGTGAAGTTCTCTTAGATGCCGTGCAATGAGACCCACAGCAGTCAACGCACAAAATGCAGAGGTATCTTGACCTGTAGCAATAGAAATGCCACAGAGGTCTGTGGCACTGAAGTGCTGTGACACAGATGTTTACCTAAATATAGCTACTGCCTGAATGATCTCAAGGAATGCAGCGAGTAGTGCCTTCATTTCTTTTAGCCAAGGCTAGATGATGAGGATGATGTGTCCAATCCCACCTCTCCAGAGAGTGCAGCAACCATCAAGGTTTGATTCCTGCTCTGCTTTTGAAAGGGATGCCAACACAGGATTCAGGGGTGAAAATAAGAGAGCATGAGAAGAGCATGTTCATTTAAGGACTCAAGGACACCATCGCTGTTGGATCAGTCTCTTACTGAGGTGTTTGCAGATTTTTGTTAAAGGTCAGAGTGTAAAGGAAGCAAAAAAAATGGGACCAGTGGATGTGAATCCCAGCAGAGAGCACAGGTCTCCCACTAACAGGTGGATGAACTGCACTCTGAGCAATGACATAAGAAGGAAGAACCACTGTTACTGTTCTCTTGACTGTATTTTTTTAACACAAGTGGCTGTAACTGCTCTTCTAGCACTAAAGCCGATCAATCACTTTGGCCCATTCAGAGCCTGCGCTTCCATTTAGGTGTATCAAGTTTGGTGCTCACATATGGGATGGCACAGGGAGCCTGTCCATGAGCTGGTCCCTCAGAAAAGATTAAGCGGTGAAGTGATTTTCAGCATGGTTCCCTGAGTTGACTTACTGCGTTGCTGCACAGCAAAAGGCAAGGCATGGGAAGCAGATTGGCAGCAGCCTGCACTTCGGTTGGCTTGTGCTGCTGCGGAGTGGGACTTTGTAGTGCCTCCTTCCTCTTGTATTCCTTCTTCACACAGCAAAAATCCCCTTTAACAATGGCGATTTTCCTTAGGAAAAACACTCCCAGGTGTTAGGTAATTCATTCTTGGTAGTCTTTTTGGAGAGAATGAAGTAGTGCCATGATGCGACTCAGCGACATGGAGCCCTTTTAGTTGTGCTCATTGCTGGGATTGAGGACAAACCCCAAGATGACTGTGTTTACCATCTGAGATGATACAGTACATAACACTGCCATTTCCTGGTGTTTTCAAATATGGGCTTGACCCAGCGTGCTGCAGGCGGGGGGGGTGTGGGGAGGGGGGGGGGGGGGGAATGTATTTTTTTTCAAGCATAGAGGAGATCCCTAGATTAATTGGAGATGTAGGAAATGAAGTCCTTTAGGACAACCCATTCATTGGTGCTCTGAATTGACTCGAATATTCCTACAAAGTCCCTGTGGCTAAAATAGAGCAAAATTTTGGCTGAGGAAATAGACTGTCTCTTCACTACAACACTCCACCCTCTCCCCTCCAGTCCGTAAGATGATGTCCAGAGTTTGTGTGGTTTGTAGTCTGCCTGAGTAGCTTTACATGGTGAAGGAGAAGGGCAACACAAGAAGGGTGATGTTCATGAGCTGGGTGCTGCGGACAAAAGCCATCTTTCTTTTTTAACATTCTTTGTAAGTTTTTAATAAGCATTTTATGATTCTGTCCATCTAGCTGCTTTGGCTGAGATTTCTGAAATGGTGGCTCAGCTCCATGGCAATATGATAAAGATGGAGAACTTCCAGAAGCTGCATGAACTCAAGAAAGACTTGATAGGCATAGACAATCTGGTGATACCAGGAAGGGTAAGTAGCAGAGTTGTGATCAAGGTCTTATACAATTTCAAAGCATTTAGGTATGTTTTAGAAACCCGTTTCTTAGGAGCAACTGAGAAATTGCCTTTTCTCGTATGAACCTTCTTCTCTCACCAAAAACTACCAAATGTAAACATAATAATACCATAGAAAACAGCAGCCTTTAAAGTGGGAAGAAACAATCATCTTCATTACCTTTTTATTGATTTTATTAGGTTTATCTTACGTATAGATTTGGACAGTTGTAAGCTAATCCAAACATCTATTACAACAGAGGCAGTAAAAATGTAATATTTATCACAGCGTTCAGAGCTTGAGCAGTTGCACATTTCCTCATTTCTTGCTGCCCTTAATTTTTTTTTTCAACCCTCAATGCTAAAGCATGGCAGATTAAAGGAAAGACAGACATTTGTGCTGGAAGACCGTCAGCCCTTTCACAATGTCTCGCTTTGAAACTCATGGCCCTGGGGACAAGTAGTCTCTTTAGTCTATGTGTAATGTTAGGCAATAATTTTTGAGACAGTGTTGCTTTAAGTAAACACTTTTAATTGTGTTATAAAAATACCAACATCTCTTTCTTACTTATGCTTTTTTAGAAACGGTGGCTTATTTCAGAATAAACGAGCCTCGGTGTAATAATTTGTAGCTGTCGTGGCTTAACCCGGCCGGCAGCTAGAACAACCACACAGCCGTTTGCTCACTCCCCCCACAGTGTGACGCTGGAGAGAAATGAAAAGAAAAAAAACATGTAAAACTTGTGGGTTGAGATAAAGACAGTTTAATAGGGCAGAAAATTAAGACAATAATAATAGTAATAATAATAATAATAGAATATACAAAACAAGTGATGCACAGCACAATTGCTCACTACTCGCTGACCGATGCCCAGCTAGTTCCTGAGCCACAGTCCTCCCTGGCCAACTCCCCTCTCAGTTATATACTGAGCATGACATCATATGGTATGGAATATCTCTTGGGTCAGTTTGGGTCAGCTGTCCTGGCTGTGACACCTCCC